TAGATCAAATGATTATTTTCATAATTTGTTTTCATGCTAAAAATTATTCTACTTTATCTTTCTTGAGATAAAGAAATCCCAAGCGCTAGTATTGTGTACTACATTAGTACAAATAAAGATAATAAATTTTTTGAATATTCACTATAATAGTTTCGGATTTTTTTTCACTAAGAATGGTGCATTATTACCAATGTATGAACAAAATTCATCAATAACCACTATGGATAGGAATTCTCTTCTGACATGATTTATTCCATCGTTTTCTCTTGAACTTATTTGATCCTTGTATTCCCAGAAAACGTGCGAAAGTAAATTTGTCTCTCTTGAGTTTTATCAAGAAATGATTCGACTTATGCATAAATGAGTGATTCTGTATACTCGAACTTGAACATGATCTTTGTCATAAAACGATCGTTAAAATAGTAATATTAGATAGACTAAGTGGTACGAAATGTTAAAATAATGCATTGAGTTTTGATCAAACATGATGAGTAGAGTTGGCTTTATTTTCAACGTATATTGAATCACGCTCTAATTTTAACTGAAAATCTTTATTGTACTCATTTCTTGGCAGTTCCATCAACAACGGCAAGGATCATCGAATCTACCCAAGTGCATTGCAGTACTGAACATATCTAATACGACTATGGCTATAAGTGTCATGATGGGTCGATTGACAATGATGTACGATGTGTTGAATTAATTTTATCAACAAATCAATTTTCTTCGAATGATTTTTTGTACAATTTGAGATTGTCCTCATCTATTCGAATGATTACAAGAAGAGATTTGGCAAATGAACGAAAGATTCAAGAAAATCTTTCATGAAAAGATCAGAATTTGAGGGTGAGGTTATAGGGGTGTGTGAATAAAGAGATGATCTTGATCCACACGCCACACCATCCTGACGAGAGAGATGCTCATCAACGAAAAAACCATCAATACAAAAAAAAAGATCTGTCTTGAAATTCATTCAACAGAGTTAATATTAGGTTGACCGCACAAAACACCGACACTGAGCAACGAGATGATTCCAATAAATTCTATAAAAACAACCTTAGAAAGAGAATTAAACTTAAAAGATACTATGACCAAAAGATAATTTTTGAACAGATATATTGTTAGAGTCATATGATGACTCCTTTAGCAGTGACGCAATCACGATAATGATTGCGAGCAAAAACATACCCATTATAAAGATATCTATTCTTTCGACAATGTTCTTATGAGTTTTCTTCGACTATGAATAGATTAAGTACTTTGTTGATGACCAACGGATCATTGGCGAACAGGTGCATTTGCCAAAACCATCTGATGAGTTCTTTAACAAGGATGAAATCGTGATAATGGTTGCTACAAAATACACAGCCACACCCTTTGTAATCTTTCAAATCATCCGAATAAACATGTAGTTATAGATATCTGATAAGACCCTCAAGCGAGGTCGAAACGCTTCTTAGTTGCCTTGACATACACACACACACCAATATATTGTTGAAAAAAGAAACTCATCATTGTTTTTACTCTTATTATTATTATACGTAAACAATATGAAATAATTCATTTGGACAAGAGTTTATAAAGTAGACTCACATTGTACACAACGATGTTGTCTTTTTCATTTTTCTTTTTTTGCTAATAAAAAAAACCGACGACTTTTCTTGTATGCATTTTAATTTTTTTGAATGCTCTATTATTTTGATTGTATGAGCCATAGAGTAATAATGATATTTATTGTTGTATCCAAGTTTTGTTATATTAGGATATAAGATAATTACTTGATTTAGAGTTATGTATTGCATTATGTTGAAAATATTTCTGTATTTCAATTTTTGAATTTTAGCAATTCAATCACATTCACTAAATACCAAATTTTTCTATAAGCACAATTGTGAGTCATATACCTTCGATTGGACTATTAAGAGAAGATTCAGTTTCATTAGTACTCACAGTCATTTAGTACGCTCTCAAATCGTAATGTTAAGACATACACGTAGTCCCAGATAGTTGGAAAAATCGTTGTTTTATCTTTAAAACGGTGCATAACGTCACATTGTTTAAATGATAATGTATTGCCCAAGGTATCTGTTTATCAAAAAAAATCAATTTCAGAGCGTTTACAAAAAATAAGGACGTTTTTATTGTTTAAACGCTTAATTATAACCATTCAAAACATAAATTAAGCAATGGTTAAACGTATGATTTTTCATGATTTAATGTGTAGTAAATGATTCTTTGTTTATTTAGTCAATGCTTTAGTGAAACCGATGAGTAGTTTTTATGCTTTCATGAAAGAAAAATACTCTATTCTTTTCATACTCTTTCCATAGTTTATATTTTTGTCGATTAATTATCGATAACGTGTATGTCTTATGTTTGGTAAATTTCTACTGAAATGATTCCGAGTTTTATAAACTAGCTGTAAAATCTATATATCCACAGTGTTGCTTTCATTGAATACGCTAATGAGTTTTTACGATTGCTCATACAACTACCAGTATATCACAGTAAAATGACTTTCAGAAGATAACTAATCACTTAAGCATCAAACTATCTTCGATTTTTGTCCGATTCGAGTCACGTATGCTATAATCATTGGAGGAGTTCATAAATATAATCTGTGATCAGGGTCAGGGCTGCTAAATCCAAATTTGCAGAACCAGGAGTTAACCAGGAGATTCTCACTTAAAATCAGGAGAAAGTTCGGGAGATTTTTATCAAAATCAAGAAGATTTTTGGTTGTCTTTTTTCGAAGAAAACTGGAATTTTCGTTTACTCAAGTAATTGCCTTAGACGAACTTCTTTTGGTGTGCGCAGGAGATACTTGAGAATCTTGATCAAGAAAGTCATGCGCTATGGACAAATCTTGAGGTCTGCGCAGGTCAAGAGCATGAGAACAAGTTCGTTCAGGGTGATATTTTCTCCTGACAAGTTAATAATGACCAAGTTTTTCTATGTGACATTAGAGGGTGTCCCAGAATAAATTAGACTGTTTGTATTTTAAATATTTCTCTTCTATTCTCTGATAGATTGAGACATATTTTTATCAAAAGATAGTGCTTGAAATTCTCTACAAAACCATATATAACTAAACTCTAAAACTGTTTTAAATGTATATGAAAAAAGATGAAAAATAAATACATACAAAAAGCTGTAAAAAATAACAGGTTGGAAATTATGAATGGTCGCGTTTTGCATCTAATGCTGTTATCACTCATTCTATTAAAAACGCAATATATCAAAAGATGCAGCGTGAAAAACTCTGCAATTTACATAAGATCGCCTGTTTTATAGTTGCCATGTTTGTTTTCAAAATAGACAAAGTTTTGAGCGATCTAATTTTTACCATGCGAAAATGAGCTTGGTTTTTCTGGATACAAGATGAAGTTGTTTGTTCTTATTTCATTTTCTTATTATCTGATATGTTTCATTAAAAACAAAATATATCAAAACATGCAGCATGAAAAACTACAGTTTACAAAGAACAAATCAGAAAAAACGAAGTCATCTTGTACTAAAAAAAATATCGTTTTCGCAGGGTCGAAATTTGATCATTTTGAAAACAAAAATGGCAACTATAAAATAGGCGGTCTTACGTAAATTGTATAGCACTTTACGCTGCATCTTTTGACATGTTTTTTTTTATTCTAATGGGGCGAAGTATGTGATGAAAAAATAGGATGCAAAGCGCAGCCATTCATTATGTCCAACCCGTTACTTTTTACAGCTTTTTGCATGTCTTTATTTTTCATCGTTTTTCAAATATATTTAAAACAGTTTTAGACTCTGGTTATGTATGGTTTTGTAGAGAATTTCAAGCGCTATCGTTTGATAAAAGAAGTATTTTTAATCAAAGAAATAGTAGAAGAGAAATATAAAAAATACAAATAGTCTAATTTATTCTGGGACACCCGTATATATTATATGACAAAAAAATAAAGATAATCATATGTTCTATATTACTATTTGTTTCACAATCATTCACAAAATACATAAAGGAAAGCAAGTAAATTCTACTTAGAAATTCAATCAAAAATGCCACTACATAGAAACCATAAATTATCATTCGTACTGTCCAGGGCACTTTCGCAAGATGATTCTTCTCTTCTCTTCTTTTTTTTTCTTTTTCTTATCTTATTCTAATGATTCAAAATGTCATTAAAAGTGAAGACGAGAAGAAAATTTAGAAACCAGGAGAAAATCACAAAAACCAGCTTCTGGTACCAGGAGATTTTTTAACCAGGAGAAAAGTCTAAAAACCAGGAATCTTCTGGCTAACTCAGGAGGTTTGGCAGCCCTGATCAGGGTGCCGACTATGTTAATTTTTTTCATAACGAAGAATATTCTGTCTTCATATTGATTCATTATTCTGCGTCGTGCCACATCCACAGTATACAATTTCAACTAGCTCCGGAGTTCCAAAGGAAAAAGTCGTCAAATCCAAATTGATAAATTTCATTTTCAAAGATCTTTAGTTTGATTTAAAACTTATCCTTAATGGTATTTACAGATAAAGCTCCTTTATGCTGCAAAATATTTTTGCTCACCATGCTACATCATCTACGACGATCATTTGTTTTAATTATGTTTCATTTGTATAAGTTGGCTTAGGATAAGGACTTCTTCATCCAAGATAATATGGCGCAAAATATGAGAATTAATTATTTTGAGTTTATTAGTTGCGTGGGACAAGCAACTTCAATCTGTACAATACGTAAAATATTTAATTTAGAGTATAACAATAAACTTTTTCTCATACTGAAACATACCATCCCTTCATCATTTGGTATCAATGTGTTATTTAAATTTAATACTAGCATCGGATGGCAGATGAATAGAGTGCAAGTATTGCAGTATCAAATTTTAATCCTCAATAATAATGATTTTTGTTTTTGCGAATTATTCACCTATCCATCTGGTCCCTTTTCGTTTCATTTGATTGCTGTTTTTCTTTCGATAACAAGTCCAAACACTCACACCCTTCTAACAGCACTATCTCTATGCTTGGTCTCTTGATTTTATTTCCCTATTTTTTAACATCAGTTTATGGTCATGGTTATCTGTTTGAACCGGTAGCTCGTAGTTCAGCTTGGCTTGTTGATTCATCATTTCGACAATGTTGTACTTGGCCGAATCATATGGAAATGTTTTGTGGAGGATTAGGACATCAATGGAATGTCAATGGTGTGTTCATTTTTTGTTTTTTTTTTGTTTACTATAATCATACAAACGCTTTATATGCTATCTTTTTCTGTAGATGGAAAATGTAGTATCTGTGGTGAACCATATGATAAAAAAGTGAAACTATTTGAAAAAGGTGGAGCAATGTACAAAGGAACCATCGTTAAAACATACACTCAAGGAGAACAAATTGATGTAAAAGTCATGGTGAGTTAATTTTTTGGATAAATAATTATCGAAAAGAATTTATTTCAATTATATTAATAATAGCTAACAGCTAATCATAAAGGTTATTTTGAATTTCGTTTATGTAATTTGGATGCTAGTCCATTAGCTGATGCTAATCAAGAATGTCTCGATCGTCATCAGTTAATAATTGCTGGTACTAATTCAACTAAATTTCGTGATGTTAATAAATATGGTTCAGAAATGATTACTGTTCATGTACAACTTCCATTAGATGTTGCTTGCCAACATTGTGTTTTTCAATGGAAATATACGGCAGGAAACAGTTGGGGTACAGATCCAACTACCGGTCAATCGGGTGCTGGTTTAGGACGAGAAAATGAAACATTTATGGGTTGTTCTGATATTGCAATTTTATCAGATGGTTCGCCCACTGATCCACCTATAGTTATAGTTCCTACAACGTAAATCTATGAACTTTTTCTTCATTCTACTTATAATATTTATGTAGATCTACGATTCGAACAACATCAACAACAACGAAAATTAGTACTACCACATCTACAGTAATAACATCAACACATCATTGGACACGACCGTCAACAACAAGTCAGTGGTCAACATCATCAACTGCAAGCTCAACAATCACATGGACATGACCATCCTTGTCTACTCACGAGTCATTATCATCAACAACTACTACGACTACTCGTCGTCCACTTGGTTTAACAACATGGTCATCGGATTTTTTTGAATATCAAATAGGTGATGAAGTAATGTATGATGGTATGAAATATCGATGTGTTGCTCCACATCGATCATATCCAGGTGCTGAACCAGGCATTCTTACTTGGGCATGGTGGAAACCTATTCAAGAAGAAGAGGAAAAGAGTACTGAAAAATAAATGTTGTGATTTAAACTTGTTATTATATCGAATTGATTTTGCAAATAAACAAATGATAAGCAAGATTGAATCGATACAAACAAAACATATGTAGATGAAAGAAAGAAAAAGAATCAAATCGATTGTTTAAATTATTTAAGAGATTATTATTCTATTCATACTTAATGTTTTGTCACCAATGTGTGTTATCTATCAAAGATCATACTTTGAAATAGAGGTTTATGTTTATTTTAAGTTATGCAAAAAATATTCTAAGAATAATATAGTCATTTTTCTTGTTAAACACGTTGATATTTAGATGAAATGATGCTTTTCATATTGTTTAAAATCATAACTACTAAAATATGCAATATAATTTATTTTATTTTGAAAATTCGAATCTTGTTAAAGAAATAAATGATGGAACAAAGCAAAAAAATAATTTATTAAAAATAAAAAATATTAATCTCGAACGCATTCTACAAGTAGAAAGATTCATTTATCTAAAAGAGATTTTCGATTTTTTTGTCAATTTAACAAAAAAGTGATGGCACCATATACTTGAGTTGATAGGTTTTGATTTATTTTTAATTTAACTTGATATATTCAGATGATGAGTCTATCAAAAGTTTGCCAATAGAATTTTCTTCAATTTAAATGTAATTTTACTATTGATTAGAGATCTTTGTATCAGTTACATTTATAGATGATGTTCGTCTATGCCATAATCGTAAATTTTATCTATTATTGTAGATTTTGCTAAGATTATTTTACTCAAAAAGATTGCTCAATAGGTAACATGAAGCACTACATCCCTAATGTATAATTAAATCAATCTTCTAGTAAGAAATTTGACTCACATATTTTATGTTTTGAAATATTTTAGATAACCATTATTTGTTAAGTATTTGTCACAACTCGTGCTATAACATTACGATTCAATTCCGACTTCCATAGAAGCATTTACTATTAATAAAGTAGCTCGAAAATTTCGATCGCAACAAATACAAAAATGATATTTCAAAATCAGACTTATCCTGGTTATCGTCAAGTTCATCACCAAATCATAATTGAATGATTCTTGATGGATCTTCTTCAATTTATCCTATTCTCGTTTTTTTTTTCTAAACTAAAAGAGGATTCGATCATATTCGAACACACTCAAAGCACTAGTCTCAAAATACATTTTCATAATAAATTAAAGAGTTGATGGAAGTCTTATTAGCGAAGAATGGGATTTACAGATGACATATGGATAGTTCCGTCATAGCATATGAAAGAAAACTTTTTCAATTTTATCATTTATTCGTGCTTTTTCTTCCTATTTGAGTACTCAATAAAAATACATCAATTATTGACATGTGATGTATTTACGAATATATCCAAACTCAGTTAAGATTCATGTACCTTTAGATCTGGTGTTTGTCTCTTGTCTTCAACGCATATTTCATTTGTATACGCTTTTACAAACTTCTTAGTGATATCATTTAAGATACAGTACTGCTCATTGGATCCCTTTGTGTGAGTGTGTATGCGAGTCTTGACTGTGACTGTTGCTCTTCAGGTGTAGGATCTAAGTAAAAGTTTTTCTACACGTCTGTACTCACACGACAGCCATAACTACTCTCATGAAGCTTTTCGTCTCAGTAATTCGTTTGAGATCGGACAGTTTTCGCCGTAATCTAGTGAGATGCATCAATACTTTGAAAGATTGCTCGAGCTCCTGACATCTTGATCGATTCTCGAAAATTCTGGCTGTCTCTCTGGAACATTCTTCTACTGCCAGAAAAGATGTCACCATCAACTGAAGATTCTCGCGGGGACGTTACTCATTGATCGATACCCTGACGATTTCTGTCCCTTAAAAGCCTTTCTCTGTCGGATTGCACGTAAGTATAGGCGTGGAATGGGTATGAGTCTGGAATTTGGATGCGTGAAGGTGCAACCAAGTGTAGCGTGTCGTGAATATACCTGTGAGTATGTATGTGGACTTTTCAACACATCTATGTCTCCACAACAGCCAGAGTCAGACTTCTGTAGCTTTTTGCTTTTCCTCTGACTAATTCTTTTGAGACTAGAAAATTTTCGCTATTATCCAGAAAGAGAGATGGATCAGTACCCGATAGCTTTCCTGAATTGCTGATGCATTAATCGGTTTCATTAAAATTTCGCTGTCCCTTCTAAATGTTTTTCTGAAACGAGAAAGCGTTCTAACTTTTATCTTATACAAAGAATCAATATACGGTTCATGTTAAGTAATGCATATCCTTATTGTGTGCATAAGAATAAACATAACCAAGTCAGACAAATGTCTTTTCTCAAGGAAATCTTTCAAAATGAGAAGAACAATACGGCACTTAGTGTATCGTCAGTAATAATAAGCTTTTTTGAAAACGTCGAATATTGATCAAGTTACGGTGATCATTACGTGTAAGATAGATAGAGAACACATGTCAGAATCACTTATCAAGAATTAAAATAGTAGCGTGCCAATAATAGCTTTTTGATCAAAACATTTGATAAAGAAAATTTGCTACGAATATGCTTATAGAATGAATTGTTTCAGATTAGTATAGCTTCAATTTCAACTAACGATAAAATTAATTTCAAGTCTTCGACAGATGAATAAACTACAGAAAATCTCACCACTCAAGAGGAAAGTAGATAGAAACATTTCTACAAAGATGACACTACCAGTTCCAGAATAGGCCTAGAAACTTGCGACAATTTTCAATTCTTGTAGAATATCATTGCTGTTTTCGATTAAACCGATTTAGATAAACATAAATTTAGTGCTGCAGATAGAGTAGAACAATTTTAGTTAGAAACTTCTGAAATAATTAGCGATTCACCATTCTTCTTCATCAATTTCTATCTTAATCATAATATTGATAGATATATTCACACAACAATCTAATTCGTCAGTTAGTTAAAAAATGAAATTTCCGTTTCTCATTATAACAAGAATAAACCTATAAATCTTCTAACAAGAGAATATTCATTGCCTAACCGAGATGTACCCGTTTATTGCAATGGACATTTTGCAATTCAGTAACCTAATATCTAAGAAACCAGAAATTAATATTCAGATTTTTCAATAAGTTGGAATATTTAAAGTCAAAAGAAAGCATATAGAACAAATGAGATTAGACAGATTTCAATCTGAGAATTACTATAACTTTTCATGCAGTAACTGTTTTTCAGGAGTTGACATGAAACATTTTAGTGTGTTCGAAAAGTGGCTGCCACACTACGTTTCTTTTTCAATTAATTGTTATTAGGACATATCAAAACTAATTTCTATAAAACAAATCCTCTGGATTTGAGCAATTTAAAGACCAGAATAATTCCAGAAATCGATGCAATCAGAAAAAAAATGTAATGCTGCGTGATATTATTATAGAATTAGAAAAAACGTTAAATTCTTGTATCTCCGCTAAAACTAACTATTTTAAAGAACACTTTTATAGTTTGCCCATAAAAGTAAAACTTGATGGTCTCACCTATCATACAGAAACAAGTCAGTTGATATACGTCAATCAATAATGAAGTTATATGAAAAACAAATTTTGGGTAGGGCTTTTTGGATACGTTGTACATTTCTTCATTCATTGTTTACACGACATCTTTCTTAATTGTTACCAGACGTTCTCGTCAAAACTATTCAAATCGTTACAAGTGTTCGATTAGTTGCGAAAACGCGTTAAAATGATGAAAGTTTCAACAATGTGCTAAAAAATTATTAATCTTAAACTGTTTCAACGTCGTTTTGACCGTTATTGTATCTGTGACTAGGTTGAGAGAGAATGACTAAATAAAAAATATCCACCATATGATGCACTGACATTAATGCTTTCATCATACAATAAAATATGCATTTGCTATGCTGGCATATATTTCAATTTTTTCATGGGCATCAGCTGCAGTAAAAAATGGAGAGAGCTTTCGAACCATCTTTTTGCATTTGTACGTATATCGAATAATAAAACTTGACTTTTCCACAGTACTTTGGTATATTTGATTTATCTCAGCTTATCAACACTTGTTTTTTATTGATTATTTTATCGAAACACAAATATACAATTCAAACAATATATTAGTAAATTGGTAAATATGGCAAGAATTATTACATCAGTTCTCTATTTCATATTTAAACCTAAATTTTCACCCACTGATTAACTTACATTTACATTTACATTTCATTTATTGAAGGTCAACTTTATCTTATTCGTCATTTTAAAAGGCATAAAAAAAGAAATAATAAAAAGATGCATTTGCATTTGAAGAAGAATAAGAACAATACCATTAAAAGTATAAGTTACAGCTGGCTCTTCATGTCTTAACGCTCGATCATTTGGTCGATTGTCACTATATATAAGAATACTTGTGAATATTCACTCTATTTCATTCAGATTTAAGCAAGAAAATGCGTCAATCAAGTACTTTGTTGTATGCCGCCTTGTTTCTTTTAATAGCGCTTGTTAAACCTAATGTTGCTGAAAGTGACTCTCTTGTCAATAGAAATAATCGTCCGTCAACGAGCAAAGAACGTCTAGCAGTTGGAAATGACGCACAACACGTTTCTCAAGCCGCTCAAGATTCATTAGGTTCAGATCCCGTAATTGAAATACCTCCACAATCTCCTCAATCGGTTCCAACTCCAATGAATGAAGTACCCATTCAACCTTCTCATGCGACTCCGACGCTTTCGAATGAACTACCTGCTCAATCGTCACAGGAAGATCTGACTTCTGTGGATGAAGTGCCTGTTCAACCTTCTCAACCGGCTCACATTTTCGTGAATGAAGTACTTACCCAACTCTCTGAGGCGACTCCGACTCCTTCAAATGAACAACCTTCTCAACCGGCTCCGATATTGGCGGATGAACTACTTGCTCATCCTTTTCAAGCTGCTCCGGTTCCTGCCAATGAAGTATCTTATCATTCTTCCCAAGCGACTCCAACTCACACGAATGAAGTACCTTCACAACCTCCTCAATCGGCTCCGACTCCAGCGAATGAAGTACCCATTCAACCTTCTCATGCGACTCCGACTCTTTCGAATGAACTACCTGCTCAATTGTCACAGGAAGCTCCAACTCCAGCGAATAAAGTATTCGCTCAACCTTCTCAACTGACTCCTATTCTCGCGAATGAAGTACCCGCCCAACCATCTGAGGCGGCTCCGACTCCTTCGAATGAACAACCTGCTCAACCTTCTCAACCGGCTCCGATATCGGCGGATGAACTACTTCCTCACCCTTCTCCAGTTGCTCCGGCCCCTACCAATGAAGTATCTGCTCATTCTTCCCAAGCGACTCCAACTCACATGAATGAAGTACCTCTACACGCTTCTCAAGCGGTCCCAACACCTACGAATGAAGTACCGACTGAACCTTCTCAAGCAGCTCCGACTCGTACAAGTGAAGTACCTGCAGAACTTTCTCAGGTGGCTCCAACTCTTGTGAAAGAAGAACCTCTACGATCTTCTCAAGTGACTCCAACACCTGCGAATGAAGTATCTCTTCAGTCTTCTCAAGCAAACACAGCTTCAGCAAGTGAAGTACCTGTCGAACCTTCTCACGCAGCCCCATCTCCTACGAATGAAGTACCTCCACAGCCTTCCGAGGCGGTTCCAACACCTACCAATGAAGTACCTGTACAACCTTCTCAAACGGCTCCAACACCTGCGAAAGAAGCACCTACTCAAAGTTTTGAGACAGTCTTGACTCCCGACTATGAAGCTCAAGCTAATGCTAACCCAATGTTTGAAAGTGACGTTCCATCTTCTCAAAGTGATTCAACGACTGAAGCTACTACAGATGAAACTGAAGAAATCGCTGTAATAGAAGATGAAAGCCAGAGTGATACTGAAGGTGCACATGAAGAAGTTAGCAATCAGAAATATGAAGGTCATCGAAGCGAAGATCTTTAACGCTAGTCAGGCTGTGCATACCATCAAAAGATTAATTGTGTACTGTAGTTCTATTTCGAAGTTTACAGTATCATAAATTTTTGTTATTTAATATGTTACGTTTCCTTTTGGTTTTCGCTCATCAATAGGGGACTATTTGTTTTATGTCCCAAAAAAACTTACCTCTTTTTGTAATATATTATTTCTATCTCACTAGAATTTATTTTTTGATCAGGTATAGATAATGATATTTTGATTTTGAAAACGCTCCATGGCAATTGAAGGCAAGCATAAAAACTCATTAAATATGAAATCTGTGCAGAAACAATATACCATCACCGAAAAGCAAAAAAAGATCTTTCACTAGCAGTTACTTTTGGGCTTGAAATTTGATATAGCTATAGAGGTAGATACTGCTATATTCACTGAGAAAACGTTTCGATCAAAAACGGATTGGTTATTAAAGATTTCTTTTTCATTTTCATACAATTATTGAAATTTGATGCTAATTGCTATTCCATATTTCTTGATTATATTGTACTTTGTTTCTCATTATGAAACCAAAATTTGTCAACAATTGATGCATATTCTTGTAGCCACTGAAACGCTCTATCTGTGGCATATAATTGATCATTATTAAAACTGATGCAAATGATGAAGTAACCAAATCAGTGCGGTGCATCTTTGTATGCAAAAAACATGAAATACTACTTTTGTACGTATTTTTTAATAATACTTGCCAACTAGCAATATTTCCAAATAAGTTATATGTGTACTTAAGCTTTGTGCGTTGAGAATTGTACCCTGAAAATTTTCAGACCATAATATTGTTTCGGTATTAAATAACAAAAATTGATTTTGTTCCAGCATAGACTTCATATTTAATGAGTTTATTGCTTGGTTTCAATTGCAGTGGAACGTTTTCAAAATAAAAATATCGTTATCTATATTGGATCAAAAAGTGAATTCCAGAGGAGTAAAAATAATATTAATTACAAAAAGGGATAAGTTTTTTTTTTGAAACACCTTGTACGATCTACTTTTCTATTTCTTTACTGCTAATTACTTAATAATAAATAATGACAATTTGAAGTAATATAATTAATTGGTAATAAAGTAATAATGATGAGTAATAAATTATTTCTATAATAAAATAAATAACAAAATAATAAATAGGTTATGATTCAGATGCAGCAGTGAAAAAAGCGACTTCTATTGGAAATTTTTCTGCGCTCTCGAAGTTTAATAAAATAATAATGTAGATATTTTATTTTGATATATAGATGGAGAAGGCAAAGAGCTCTTCTAGCTTATTTATGATGAATAAATAACAATAAGAAGGAAAGAGTGTGGATGTGAATGTTGGAGTCTTCCCTTAACTCACATCCATCCACACTCTCAAATACGAAAGTAACTTCTACTGTTATTGACCTAGTTATTTTATCCATAAAAGGTTTTGGTCTCGGGTTGCCTCCAATGTCTTACCTTATTCAGGAGACGTTGACTCATGACGATTGTTTCTTTGGCGAGATTCGCGTTATCAAATAAGCTTTCAATTTAAAAATTTTAGTTGAACTTCTTCGTGTTCATCTTAGGTTGTTTGTTTTTGGATAAATCTCATACAAAAGTAGATCATTGATAGTTAGAAAGGAAAAAGAAATTTTTCGTTTACTTCTAACTAAAACTCTCGTTTCAATAGATCTTATTCAAAGACGTTAATGCTAAACTAATGAATAACTTTCTTTGTTTTCATTTTTTTCCGTGAACAAATATTGACAACAAATCTTAACGCTATCAACAATTATTTTTGAAAAGATTTTTTTGGGTCTCTTCTATAAAGAATATATTTGTTGTTTTTTTCTCATTGGATTGAATTGAAATAGATAGTGAGTCCAATCAATATTGAAAAAGAAAAACCTATTCAATGAAGTTAATTCAATATAAGAGTATTTTCTGTTCGGCAATTTACTTTTCTAATTATCTGTTTGATGCTCTCTATTGTCAAGAAAGAAAACATGAATTTGTGAAGATATACGTCAGATTATTAAAAGAGATTCAATCAAGCTGACTTTGGGTTGAATTATTCATCGTAATCTGTTTGAAATTCAATAGAAATGTACATATTGTTGAAGAAATAAAAGATTGAATAGAAAAATGTTTTGATGTAAATATATTTTAGTTGAAGAAGAAAATGATAAACAAACAAGAAAAAGAATATCAATGAAAGACAGTTAATTTGTTGTTTCAGTTTCCGCAACACGTACGTGGTCTTCTCGTAACTCACTCCTATACCCACCTCACTTTTCAAATATTTCAAAAAGAAATTCAATCGATTTATTTTTTCGATTAAAATATTGTGCAGATAAATTACAATCAAATGATTTAACTTGATTTTCTAATGATTTCAATAGTGTGCAAAATTTTGTTTTTTTTTAAAGACTATATAATTTATTCATTCTTTGCTATTTTCCTTCAAGAAGAACAGCTTTATGACGAATTAGATGATTTTTTGACACTTATTTGGATTATTCTTGCAATTTTTTTGAAGAAATTTTTCATTTAAGTGAACAAGTAAGTAAATTAATCAAACATGTAATATTGTCTCATTAAAATTTTCTCAATATTATTGGAAATAATAGAGTATTAATTTCTTCTAGAACTTATTAGATTTAAGAATAAAATCAATAAACATCTAATAGAGAAGAAATCGATGTCAGTTTATAAAAATTCAATTTTATTTATGCAAAATGATTCAAACAAAAGAGTTCATATCAGGTCCGTTTTAAAACAGTTTTCATTGCATAAAAAAAACACCATGTATCGTAATATGAGTCGATCTCAGTTACATTTTACATCAGAAACTTAATTCCACATAAAAAAAAAGAGAGTGTATTTTAATATTTGGTAGTTCTATCGTTTTACATCTGAGTCGATTTTCCACTAAACAGTCTTAACTTTGAAAAATTAACTTGTACAATATAATCTATGGCACAATTTGAGAAAATCATATTAATCAGTTAGAACTATTATTAATAGTTTCTATATGATGTCAACAAAATAATCGAAAGACAGAGTAAGAGATTTTGATTGATGTTTCAATTAAATATATTGTATATTAATATTGTTTCAAAGAAACACAATCCAAAAATGATATGTAAAATATTTGTTTAATAAGATAAGTATATCTCTTTTTGAAAATTTCGTTCACGCATTAGGAGATTTCTGCTAGAAATTTGAATAGCATATATAGAAAAAGAAACTGTTGTTATGTTAAATAGCATCATGAAAGAGATCTTTTGGTATATTATAAATAACTCACTGTCGTCAATGTACTGAATTTAGACCAGCCGTGTAATAGTGTTATTTAAAAAAAGAAAAATCAGAAGAGTCAGTAAATCGATCGAATATAAAGAAATATCCTAGAGCGAAAAAACTTGTAAATGAGTTCGGACATCGGCGACAAAAAATAATTTAGAATAGAATGATTTTTAATCCTATAGAGGATAAAAGCTATCTATTTCAGTCGGATAATGTATTTTTGACACTTTACAACATCTATTTCAATAAAATAGTCTCAATAATTTGTTGAGAAGAAAATTATAAAGTCTTTATGTTTACATGAGAATGATAGAATGAATCTCCAGTAAAACTGGTGTCAGTTTTTTTTTTGTAGTAAATCAATGTATGTTGAAAACTGCGAACTAAAATACTCTGATTTGGCAGAAATAGAAAAAAATAAATACATACATCAATACAATAAAAAGAAAAAACAAAATTAAATGAAATTTACCGTTAGTGTTATTCTCATGCTTCTCAATAAGCATCAGTTAATTAATTTTCAATGGATGAAAAAAGGTTCACCTAATTTCAAAAAGAACTTTTTCTTCAGCCTAATTATGACTAATGAGAAAAAATGAGTGTAGGATTCAGCGCAATGTTATTGTCGACAGCCATGCCTTCAATTCTTAGATTGTGACCTATTTTATTGATGCTATTTCTTAATGGAAGGAAAATTTAAATAGCTAGCACATAATTCACATCAATAACACAAACCTTGAAAGGATTCGTCGCAATAGATGTTACAATGTTTTGTTTTGCTGAGAATTCATCAAGTCGAAATATTTGATTAAGTGTATCTACACGATTAGCTTCAAATAGTATTTTGACTTATTGACGAGTAAAATAAATGTACGAATGTGTTTTTATTTAGAAAGATTTCTTCTCATGCCACCACCAACAATAGTCACACGTGTTTTATTTCATTTCGTATCAAAATAAATTTTTGCAAATGTAATATACGAACAGTTATACAACCTACGCAACAACTTGAACAACCTCATATTATGATCTATTTTAACTAAAAAATGTTCAAGAGTACACCAAATGAACGAACATTAAATAAACTATCAAAATAAATGCATTGATATTGTCGTTTATCATCACTTTATTCAGATATTGATTCATTATTTCCATATGATGAACAAGATTCTTATTTAAGAAAAGATGTTTTTAAATTACTTGGTACGATAAATAGATTGTTTTCTATTTGATTTTGTTCATAAGCTGTTTGCACAATCCCTGCATAATTAGAATTTGAAACACAATGTAGCTGTTGTTGCTAATCACTGGTATATTGTTTTATTCTATCTATGTTGGAACACATTGCTTCATCATCATTTTACTGAATTCTCTACAAATACAATAAGAAAGTAGTTTACATTACAGGCTTTGACCGTATATCAATCACATTTTTGACGGAGAATGGGTACTGCGGGTGGGCATAGATGTGGGTCTGTATGATATACAAAAGACTCACACCCTATTCAAATCTAAATGAAATTCATGTATTATTTCATTATGTTTTTCTTAATTTTAATTTTTGTTTTATTTTATAAATTAAAGTTGAAACGTCTGAAGCATTATTTTCAATCATGAAAAGTTTGGTTTATCTTTAGAAAAATACTTCTTTTTCTCATAGTTGTACATAAAACATTTGCCAAATATCAAATGAAAAATTTGAAAATAACTTTCATTTGTTAGTTCTTATTTAAAAAGGTTTTTCATGGAAATAAATTAATGACTTTAATGTATTTAGAAAAAAGAATCGGTTTAAATTAATCAATTTACCGAGCTACTTTTATTACAGTAAAAAGATTTTCGAGAAATAGTTAAAACACTAATGAAATTAAGATTAAAAGTAAATATAAAATTTAAATTAGATTTTGAGTTTTTCATAATAAAGATGAAGATGAATTTCTCCTTGAACTTGTATTCCATGTTTATCTTCAATACAAAACCAATCATCAATATAATCTTAATAGCAAAGATTTAGTAAAACAAATCGAGCATCATATTATTCTTAAAAAAAATACTTTTATCATATAAACGATGTAAATCAATTTGAAGAGAACCAATTCTTTCATTTTTAATTGTATCTTCATCATAAACATCAATATGAAGAATATTTTGACCTTGTAAATGATTACTAAAAAAAATGTGTATAAATTTATAAATTAAAAACAAAAAAAGTAAACCGTTTACAAAACAAATGATTCATCCCATGTTGGATTATTAGAATTTTGTTTGACTTTTGTTCTTCGTTTTTGATTAATATCATCAAGATAAATTTCAATAAAAGCATCATCTTCACTAAATTTATCTTTTTGTTTTAGATTTCTTGCTTCAATCACATGAACTTGTAGTTGAGCCATTTGTTTCTGTAAAATATAATATATTGACACTCGAGATTTCTTTATTGATTCACTCGAATAAAAGTAAAGAAAGAAAAAAATTCTTGTCACTGATAAAAGAAAAACAAGAAAACGAGAAAAATATTTTTTTTTAATAAGGAAAATCAAGAGAGAAGGAAAAAGAGAAAAATGCTTATTAGACGTTCGTTCGTTCACCATGGTTTACTATTAATCATGCATCGTAGCAGTCCTGATTTTACCTAATGCTGCTTTTTTTTCAATTTTCACTACTCTTAGAAAATCTTTTAGTGCAATCTCTGCGGGATTAAAATGTGAAACAGGAACTGGCTATTGTTGTTAATCGCATTGAAATAGTTTTGTTCACAACCATTTACTTAATCCTCTAGCCTTATAATCAGGAAGAGTGTGGGTGTGGGTAGGCGTGATTGCGGTTGCGAGTGTGAGTGTAGTTCTGCAAGTGATACCAATAATGAGAATGATTTTCTCGTAGGAACGATAATATATAATCAAGAAAATCATAGATATTTAAATATCTAACTTTTTCGAAAGTCTTGGGTACTGTGAATTATAGTTTCACAAGCATTTGAAATCGATACATTCACCTAAGTTGTTATTGTCAATTAATGTATTACATCTAATGTCGGTTCAAGTCTTAAGGATACTCGGTTTAAAAATTGAATAAGTCATGAATGCAAACAGCTAGCAATCTGCAGTTTTCAGCAGTCAAAAGAGCAGATATTGGAGATTCTTTTTCTTCGATAATTCATAAGATAAAATCCTTTTTAGAATAATCATCTCCGAAAAACATTCGAAAAAATACACGAAAATGATCTGTCATTCCGATGAAATTTTGGGCTTTGCATATGATTTAGATAGAAGAACTTCAGATCTATAGTTCAAGACACAATGCGAATGGTTATCTTTAAAAAGTTTCATCGGGATGGCAGATCATTTCTATGCATTTTTTTTCTTATAGATTATCGAAGAAAAAGACGCTTCCATGGCTCCTTTTTCAATTGCTGAAAACTGCAGATCGCTAGCGACTTGTGTTCTCGACTTATTCAAGTTTTTGTCGAGTATCCTTAACTCCTGAAGTGGCATTAATAGCCAGTATGTAGGTAAAAATTAGAAATTACTTTAATTGCCATTGTATTTACTATATTATATTAGGAAGACGGCGAGTGAATTTCTAGAGTACGGCTGTTAGTGCATTTTCGAAGAATTATAATCGAGCAGATAATGATATGGCCAGGAAAAATATTGAACTTTGACGCGTGCCAACGCGATATACAAATATATCCATAAATAATTCCTAATTTGTCATTTTCTTTCAAAAATCCTTGAGTTGTTAATCCTAGCAGATAAAATGTATTTACTAAAAAATCTCATGTGTCAACTGTTGAAACTATGCAACTTGCATTTTTCATTCAAAAAGACATTAGGCAAAAAGTCTTCTTGGTAATAGATTATTACTGCTTCACTCTCATTTTCTCACAGTATTGTTAATGATATGTGAGCAATAAAATGAATTTCTAGTAGGATTTTCTCATACAATGGAATACCTTTAGTGAAAAAATAATTAGATACAAGAAATCAGATAATGTAGATTTTGTTTGTTTTTGACAAAAATGTAAACCGTATGGGAGAGTAATTGTGTTCTTGGAAAGATTATAAGTTTTCATATATGCACTGATTCTCCGATATCGATATGAGGAAATTATACTTTTCATTTCGTTGTTTACACATATATTTTCATCGAGCATGCACCTTCAAACGATAAGTTTTTATTATCTTAAATGTTTCAAAATATCAAATGTGATAAAAATCGATTAAAGATAAACTATTTTCTACGACTAATCAAGCATTTAGTGCAAAATTACATCTTGAGATGCTTAGACATCGTTTTGTTTATTGGTTTGTCCTCTTTAGTAGGTCATGCCGTTCTCTAATGCTTGGTGAAGATCAGAAAAAATGTGGGTTAGACAGAGAACGAGAGTAGTGACAGAACGAAGAAAAATAATAACGATGAACAGCTACACATAGAAACCATGAGTGTTAGTAATTGCTCAGTGTGTGATAAGATCGATGTTGCTATCGACGTTTTAGAATAAAAATGAATGCTCAAAACAACATGAATACAGTGTCGAGCTTGGCTGGTTCTTTATTAGACGGATACATGACTGAATACTTTTGAACAAGATCGCTCTCGACGCTCGTTCTTTTTTTCTGCTATTCTTCTGAATGAAAAAAAAAACAGTTAAAATGATGAGATAATCGAACCAAAATTGTGAAAAGTGTCGTCAGTAGTGTTCTAAGAGAAAGACAGAAAAAAATGAATACAAGTGAGTGCTTCTAATTAAGGTCGAATGCTTATTGGCGAATGTCTGACTGTAATGTCTTGATCATAATAATTTTGTTTTCATGTATTTTTTTTTCTTTTCTGTCATCTAGCCGCTAGAGAATAACATTTTCTCTTCTCTCCATTACACAACATTCAACTATTTGACGGATTCTTCTTCTTTTTCTACTACACAAGTAACCGCTACTGAAAAACAATAGGAATACTTAGTGTTTGTGTAACATGGTATGACTTTCCATAAAATGTACGAGTCTATGTACGACGTTTCTAGTTGTGAAGTAGTTAACGATTATTTTTTTTTGCCAATTGACACGTACTTTGATTGATACAAGTGTATCATTTGTTGGGGGGAAGAAAAATTTGTTGCAGTGCGTACGTCTTCATTTGTCATAAATTGCGGTATGTAGATATGTGAGGGATAGCCGAGATCCAAAAACATCACTGGATAAATCATAGGTAGTACATGCATCTATTAAATATTATTTAGCTGATGTACGTATTCTCATACCATTATATTGAGCTCTTAAAAGCCGAAGGAACTTTTTTTTATAACAGAAGGCAGCTAGTCATAGAAATAGAGTTTAAGAGTCCTCAGAATGTTCATACTATAGCTAAAAAGAAACAATATATTATTTTTTCAGTTACGAAATGCTTCTTGGAACATATATTCGACCTTTGAGAAAAATCGAAAGAAAGACGTTTTAATATGAAATTTTGCGCATAGATAGGTCTTATGATTCTTAAAAGATTCGGATACTGTCAGTCAAGACGGATGTTTTCCTTTCGGAATATTGAATATACAAACAGAAAACGATCACATTTCATAATCAGCTTCTCTATAAACTTGCCATATCTCGAGAAGGAAGCATCTATCTGGACTGAAAATTTCAGAGAATTTTAAACATCATGAGACATATCTATGAACCAAGTTTCAGATCGAAATTTAATTTCTTCGATTTTTTATAAAGCCAAATGTTTCTTTCAAGAGATCTTCTTCTTTCTGATGTTATATAATGTTCATAGATCACTTCAAGCTTGACATGCTAAATGAAAGTAATGTTCATCAGGATCCGTCACAAAAAGAATTTTAATTCAATTTTTTACATTTTGGTCTAATTCATTATCACATTTGGAAGCCGGTTAAAAATATTTTGCTTTTCAATCAATATTCTACCTGACTAGCTTAGTTGGAAAAATTATACGTTTTTGTATTTAGATATTTTGTTTTATTTTTATAATCACTATCATAATGTTCATTTGGAGTAGAATGCATCGGATTCAAGATTGTTGGATCCGACGGGCTCTAAATCTATTTCTTCTTTCAATGTCTTAGCATGAATAATACTAGTTTTATAAATCTTTGGGTGTTGTTTCAATTTATTTCAGATTTGAATCAACGTACCATGGCTGACAGGGGTATGTTAAGTGATAATTTTACTGTCAATATTCCTCTTCAATCTAATGACGAGACCGAAACAAAATTAGATACAGATTCACCTCCTCCTTATGAACATCCACAACTTGATTTTAATGGTGGATGGAAAGATCGTGGTTTTGCTATCGTCGTCTGGATTCATACGGTTGCTGTCACATTAGTGGGCTTAATCTCAGGAGTACCAGTTTTAATTTCATTAATGACGGATATTAAATTTTACGAACTGGAACAAGTATCAGCTAAGTTTGACTTTAAACCTTTCATTTATGGATTAAGTGCTGCAGTAGGTGTTGGCGGATTAGCCTCTTTACTTATATTTTCTCTCTTACAAGCATGCGCCAGTCAACTCATAAAATTCTCATTTTTAGTGATTATAATGATGCAAATTATTCTAGGAGTAATTCTTTTCTTTATACTTTGGCCATTATGTTTTATACCTATTTTTTTTCTATTAATCATATTGATTTATTTATCTTGTGTTCGAAAGCGAATCTCCTTTGCCGAAGCTCATTTACAAGCCGGCTGTGCTTCTTTTCAAAATCGTCCATCATTGATATTAATAGCATTGGTCATGCTTATTGTCGAATTCTTATGGTTTGTCTTCTGGTTTCTAACGGCACTGGGAGTTCAACAAACTTTATTTAATTCTACGTCATTTATGAATTTTAATACGAACGGTAGGGTAAACAGTACAACAAAATTGGATATGACCAGCACAAAACCTCTATGGATAAAAACAACTAATTCTGGTTTTGATGGGCAAAATAAACTAGTCAATAGTACACCATTTTGGATGAAAGAAAAACAAACAACTAAAACTATGAATATTTATTCAATTAATCAACAAAGCAAATATAACAATACACAACAAGATTCAACTAATTCTACACAAGAATGGTATAGNCTTCTGAAATAGCTTTATTTTGATACCAAACGATTCCTCGTGAAATTCTGCATCTAGTAAACTATGAATCAACCAAAATTGACGAGGGCCCAAAAATGACCCTTATACGCCCCCGTCCTTTTAATGAGTAAATTTTTTTTAAATAAAAAAGGAAAATTTGAGACTTCAAATACTGTTCTATTTGAATAATTTTAGTTGAAAAAACAAACAAAATTAAATTTAACAGCTTTTGAATTTCGAGTTTATGTTCGCAAGTGAGAAGACACGTTTCCGGGAGATATCAGTTTGCAACGAGAGAGGATTCGAGCACCAGATGGATCGTATAGCGATAAAAAATATATGTGCTAATTAGATAAATGTCAACCAACGTGGGCAAGTAAACGTACAGAACATTGTCTCTCGATTGAGGTTTTGAAGACAAAACAACGAATTGTATTTTTTCCTCAAATGCACCTTGACGAAACGGCAACATCGACTATACAATTGCAGTTCTAGTGAGTGTTTGATATTTATGAATTTGAATTGTCCTGAACAGATACGGCGTGAGATATGGGTGAGTGATTGTTGGTGTTCTCTTCGCTCACATTCCACGACTACACCCACTTTGACCGCGTTGGGTCGCTGTTATCTTGGCAAGCTGAAAAGACATCGAACATGGTTGGTTTGTGCATCTGTCGAATGGCAAGTAACTTTTCTAACGAAAATATATTTCGAGATGTGTATGCAACTGTGAAACAGATGACGATTATTCGCAGTTCACGAGTGTCCCACTTCTGTTGTAATAACAATTCTTCTCTCGCTTAATAATTGACTTAACACTAATTGTTACGCAGAATTACATTAATGGGTGAGCATGTGCTTTCTTCGTTAAGCCATTATACTTGCTCCAGACGACACTTAATGATTCGCATTAGTCGATAATTCGGTTTGGTTTCAGGCTCAATAGAAGCCACAAAAATCCATGAAATATATTTACTTGTTTTGTTGTCAATTACATTATTCAAGTTCATACAGTGAAGGATATTATTATCGATCTATATACAAGGCTGTGGTTGTGGGTATGAGTGTTGCTATGGATGATGATGTGGATACGTGAGTATTAGTCTTCTGCCACACATCCGTCTTAACACTTATGATCACTGATAATACATCACGTTACGCACAGCACATTTCTCACTCACACAACCAAAGTCATGTTCACCGACATCCAAAGTCGTAATTAGGCCCGTCACCCAGTCTTCACACCTGCACGTACACTCTCTGGGCATTTTTGGCTACAATAGTTATAACGGTTGTCGAAATTCGTGCAAGCATTCTCGCGCTTGATAGAACCGTTCCTTGTCTCTTAGAAAACTTTCATATGTATTTTTTGAAGCGCTTACGTTGCTGTTTAACCATGTCAACAGCCACAGTATCAATTATGTCCAGGTAACCATATCAAATTAGGTCTATTTGCCCTCGTTGTGATTCTACAAGCGTTGCTCTCCATGATCCTGCTACTCGTGTCCGTGCTCTTTAGCATCCGCAGGTTGCTAATAAAGTGGAAAATGCTTGTTTTGCTGCTGTGCTTGATAGAGATGCATCTTTAGTCACTGCTGCTGTTACTGATGAAGAATGTGATTACTTTGATCAAAGAGCGCCTCTGTTCTCATGTATTGATTCTGTCATTGATGATTATGAGGCTTCTTTCGGTAATGCTGCTTCTCGTTCTTTTTATAAAGCTGATGCTGCCAATTATTATGCTTATTCTAATGCTGCTTATGCTGCTGGTAAAACAGGACTTTTTGAGGTGGCGAATCACTTTTGTAAGAATCAACACTTGCTTTTATGGCACGGATATTATCTACTACATCTTCGCCATAATGTGCGCTATGGAATAAGAATAATTGAAGACAGGCTTTTTGCCGACCTTTCTCTTCTTCTTTAACAAATAGAACCGATTGACAACCAAGACCAGATCGACCAGAAACCGACACACCAACGGGTCTGAGAAACTAGCAGAAAAAATAAATGAAAGCAGCACATTGATCGCTTACAATGATAACTGACCACAAGGTCATTTTTATTCTCCAACACCGAACTTATAACTAGCGGAGAGTTAGTCGAATATGGCCAGTTTCTGCTGCTGGCGTAGTGATTGAAGGTCTTCCTTGTTTCTCATACGCTTCTTTTTTTTTGTTGCTTATTTGTGCCAGTGCTATCGAAACTGTCGCTAGCTAAACGATGTGGAGTAGAGCTGGATCTAGGACCTTGTTGTTGCACGGAAGCACTGTTAGGTCGATGATTTATTATATGAAAATGGAATTTTTAGTTTCTGAACTTGAAAGTGAACGTCAGAATTAAGTCCAAATTCATATTTGATTTCATAAGTAAATGAGCAGTCAAAAATTCTCACTTCGAAATTTTTAGTTTCGATATTTTTCCTTTCGATATTATAAGACTGACTTCGTAGTTCTAGATAAACACTTCATATCACAAAGGAGTAATGACTGTTTGTTCGAAGAATAGCACAGCAAATATCTCTTTGGGTTTGTTAATGTCAATAGTTTCGTCAATGACGCATTTACAGTCGTTATCGTTTGTCCTATGTTCTTTTTTCATTTCTGTCCTGTTCCTTTTTTCATTGACTTTGTCTGGCTTTTCTTTTTCTTTTTTTTCTTCTATTAGGAGATTTTTGATCTATTCAATCTCTCTTGCGTTATTTTGATAAACACACATGCACATCATGATACATAATACTCTCACATACACATAACAACTAAGCTACATAACGAACCAAATAGACGAGAGAAAGAACGTCCGTATATATCAGCACAGGCATCCAGGGATGAGAAAGAGAAGACAAATAAAAAAACGATGGTCTAACCAGAAGACAGCACAATATCATACGAACAAAAGAACAGATAGATCTACTCGCAACAACACAGGATATAATAACCAAATAGATGATATTACTTATAGTAAAAAAAAGAAATAGAACGAAAGAGAAAAATATGAATCATAGCAGAACAAAAGTAAATGACACGTTAAAGGCGAAGCCTCTAACATCTTTTTATTTGCTTCGTCTGATTTTTCTTTTAAGATAAAAAATGCCTCTTTTCGAGACTATTCCCGTCGATATTGAGCAAGTTCGTCAGCTCGCTCGAGATCACTGGGGCGTCGAGGTAGGAGAGTGTGTCAAGGTCTCACAAAATCACACTTTTCTCGCCAACAAGGGCACGACAGAACGCTTCATCGTGCGCGTTACACCCGATCCGGACAACAAGCGATTCGATAGCACCGAGTTGGAGGTGGCTTTATTGGAGTATCTGTACGAGAACAAACTTCCTGTGTGTCGAGCCATTCAAAGTTCCATCACCTCCTCTGCTGTCGTCCGTAGCAGCTCCTTGATTCTCTGCCTCTTCACGTTTGCAACTGGGGAGCCTGTAGTCTATACGGATTGGACATGGATGACGAATCGAGAGATAGTGGTCGGCCTCGGGCGTTGGTTTGCGCGTCTACACAAGCTCACGCGCCGTTTCGTCCAAGAGCAGCCGGCGCTCGCCGCTCGCACCCGCCACTGGACCACGCTTCACGACGGAGTTTTGGCCGGAGTGAAAGTCGACGAACGCGACAGTAGAACGGCGTCGGATCCTGCGTACTTTGGGATGATTCATGGTGATGTGAACCCGAGCAACTACTATTGGGATTCTAGTGTTAGAATGCCGTGCATGTTCGACTGGGATCAACTACAGCGATCGTGGTTTCTCTACGACTTATCGGCACCAATTTGGGGCGTCGTCGCACTCGAGCGAGCCGGCTCACCTATCGATCAATCGACGGTACCACAAGCAAATTCGGAGCTCTACACGACGTGGCTTCTCGAAGGATACGAATCAGATGAAGAGGGTGTTGTTGTTGATCGTGCAGCTCTCCAGCGAATGGTGATGATTCGTCGAGAGCTCTATAGACGATTCTGTCGACAGGCACTCTCGGAGCTGTCGGCCGAGCACCCGATGACACCGTTTTGCAAGCTCGTGGCTGACTTTTTCGACAAGGAGGACAAACAGACGCCATCGCAGTCCAAAGCATCCAACTCTGACACCTAATAGTTTGTTTTACTTTTTGTTCGCGATATTTTGTCGACACTTAACAAAATCTTAATACCAGAGACATTTAAATGTACATCTTTGATCGAGCCTGAAGTTCCCACCGTTGACACAGATAATGTACGACGGGAACATCACACATTTCATCGAATGCGTTAGATGATTTGTTTGATATGAAATGTTCAATTGCATTGCTCATAAAATTGACTAAAAAAATCACAATAAATTCGAGATATTTATTGAGAATGATCGGATAAGAGTGTGGGTGTGAGTCAAAGAAAAGCTGCACTCACATTCAGATCTAGACCCACACCAGCATACCCAATATAGGACGATTAAAGGTGGTTTTCAAGTGTCCTTGCTCGATCTGCCACCCTTTCAGTGTGATAATAGTTAATATAAAGCGATTGAAGGATTCGATCCATTGTTCAATGGTGTGCACATAACGATGTGATAATTATTAAGAGTTACAGAGTCTGAATAGAAGAATATAATAAACTAAAATCTCATTACGCGAATAATGCGATAATAATTGTTGTTTTGTGCAGTAGACATAGGGCTAATATGATAATTGTCAATAATTATATTCATTGCTGTTTTATCTTTATAAGTGCATATATATGTTACATAATTTTTATTCCAAACATAAAGAAGACCATAATATGAATTATGAAAAATTGGAATATTTTTAATTTCAATTTTTTCATGAAATATTAAAACTTAGAGCATAAAATCTGTAAAATTAATTTACTACTATTTGTCACAGCGTATCTGTGGTAGAATTTGAGAAATTTGACGTATACCGATACGTGGCAAAAAGAATTATTCATTCATTGTACTTAATTATAATTTGAATTTAAAAATCGAGTGTTAACAACAGTATGATAGAATAAAAACGAACTTAGTTATAACAGTGCAGCTCTA